ATAATCTGGCCTAGGTTATAACGACATAAGCCAATTTACTTAACAGAATTATGTCTTATCTAATCATATAAAAGGAGTGAAGTGAGCATTAAAAAGCAGAAATTTTGTTAAGCTCAGAAGAAGATAATAAATGAAATGGAGGCAGATTTAGTAGTGATTTAGTACGCTTGCAAATTGAATGTTAATAATGAATTTCAAAGCATTATTATAATAAAAACTACTCACCTAATACAAAATACAAAAATATATAGATAAATCAGTTTTATTCTAATTATAGAAGAATTAAATGCTTTAAACTTTTTAACCGATTGTAAAGGTTTTATTTATTCACCCGCCCTCTTCATAAATGCATGGGTCCCTACTATACGTTCTTCCTATATGTTATACTAACATCTAGTTATTCCTTTTCGTTTCCTTTCATATTTGTTTCGGGAATATTTGAAACTGGTCTTAGAATTAGTGCACAGCGCTTAGAATGCTTTTTTCGTCAATGCTGCATAGAGGCATATAATTCAAACGGCCTGGAGAGTATGTAATATTTATATATAATTTCAGTTCTCGAAAAAACTTTGTCGGATAAATTATATGGGCAGCACATTGCAAGAGAAAGAATAATTTTTCATATTAAGGTGTGATACTACATTTATTCATTATTAAGCCTGATCTTTTAAATGTTGTTTCAGGCATCGCCCTTTGTTAGCCAGTTTGGGTGCTCTAAGCCATTTCTTAAGTTATAGTATTACAAATTAAAATTTTTTAGCATTTAATATTATTTTTACATATTGACAATATGATCTAAACTTTTATTTTTTACTTGGATAGTTATTTGCTTAAAATTACAATTAAGATGGGCTAGATTCAACCTTATTTTGTTTCTTTTATAGTATCTGATCTACAATAATTATTACATTTGTTACATCTATTTTATAACTGTAGGCTCATTTAAATGATAAATTCCAAAAAAAGGCTCTGGCTTTGTCATTCCATGGGCTCACAGGTACTGGGAAAAATTATGCCGCAGAACTAATCGTGCATAGTCTTCTTCGTAAAGGACTTAATAGTCGCTTTTACCGTCAATTTGATGCAACGGTCCACTTTAAACATGCCGACAAGGTTCGAGAGTATCAGGTATTTGATAAAGTTTAATTTATTATGAACAAGAAATCTTAGTGCATTTTTTCCGTATTCTTAAATAATTTCCCTTTACTGTAAAATAACTTTATTTTCTTGGATTATGTTAAGATGATGAGTATCTACTATAATTATTCGTATACATATGTATATATCCGCTGACGAAAACGTTCAAGTTTGTAGTACCAAAAACTAGTGATGTTTAAAATGTTCGATCTCTATTGCTGAAATATTTTTTAGGGGACTATTTTATAAGATATGTCCTATCAACACTTTATATGCGTCATTATCGATCTCTTTTAGGGATTGATATTGAGTATTTAACTAGATATGTAGGCCATTATTGTGCCAACCTTAATTATTTACTACTTTTTTTGTAAGGATCAAATCCACAGAGAACTAATGGCCGCCGGCAGCGCCTGCTCCAAGTCAATTTTTGTCTTCGACGAAGTGGACAAGATTCCGCCAGGAGTGTTGGATGTTCTGGTCCCTTTCCTTGAGTATCGCGAAAGTTTAGATGGCGTGGATTTCAGGGGGTTTATCTTTATTTTTAATAGGTAGACGAAAATAATTCAGAATGTACTGTTACTTCCATTATTATGAATTCAACTTTAAACTAAAAATTATTCGTGTAATCGCTTACCATATTATTTTAGGCTTGACTTTTATTTCTAATGGATGTATGTAATCGATATATTCGTAGATCTATTTCTTACCAAAACATCTTCGATTTCCTCTGCATGATAATATATAGTCTTATTATGACGTTTAATCTGATAAGGCATTCAGGATATCCTCCTTCGGGTATACGAAACAGAAATGATATCACCGAGTAGTCATAACAATTAATAAATATCTGTTCTAAGGTAATTATGGCTAACGACCTCTTTTACATAAGGGGGGTTATCTCGACGATCGGTCAATGCCAGACACTCGTGAGTCCAAGATGATCGGCTTTTGAAGCTTATGCACAGAAAGCATGGCAATAATAAAAAATAAAGTCTGATATATTAGCTTCTTCGCCCTTTTTTGAACGTCGATTGGCCGCCTTTATATCCTTAAGCATGAGTTTTACTTTATTTCTTATCCCCATTGTTGATCTGCAATATGTTCCGTAATCTGCTGAGTTCACTAGATTCTCCATTATTGCATTTAGCGACAGTCACACCATAATCTGCAAGCCAAATAGACTGACCGCTATCACTTCTAGTTTCCGCCATGTGTTTTGCTATCTCTGATTTCTGGACTCAAAATCCTCTATAGGCATTTTTTCCACATATGGATGAGTAGGAGTATAGGATATAGTAGTATATAATAGCATATATTAGCTGGATCAATTCTTTAATTCTGACTTAAATTATTATTTGTGTAAAATATATTCATATTCAATTTTTTTCTATTCTTCTTTTCAACTTTGTTCATTTTTGTCGGAAACTAACAGATGACTCAATAGTTCCCAGCCATTTTTAAAAAAAATAACGACTACTTAGTCGTCTGGTTTCATTTCTTTATTTTATGTTTATTCGAAGCAAGAAGCCACTAAATGTCCACTCCCATCGTGTCTTATTCCCTATGTTTATTATGAGCTGTTCCGGAGGTCTGCTCTTTTAAGCGAATTTAATAAAGCGCAATCAAACTTTCCTCTTTTTCCTGTCACTCTTGCGCGTGAATAGTTGATCTTACTATCCCTTTATTCTGATAAATACTACTTTAACTAACTCCTTTCAGATTCTCCCTTAAACTCTTTCCTATCTTACTGGTTCACCTAATTAAATCGGCCCCTGCTACCTTATCCGTTGTACTCGTAGTGCCATTTTCCATAAAATGCTTTAATTATTTGTTAGCGCGTATATTGTTGCTCCACCAAGCAAGCCGCCATAACCCTACTTCAAAAGCTCGCTGATATCCATCTACTGCTATAACCCATTTTTGTTGTGTGACTTTTCAGTTCGAAGGAAAGTTGATTGGAAAGAATTCGTGGAATATTCTTACCGGAAACCGGAGGATGGTTGCCGCGCAGTGAAGATTGTTGGATTGTGCAAAGAAGTCCTTGGCTCACCATCCTGCGACCCCGATA